CAGAATTTCCAGTGAAACGATTCTGAATATAACAGAACTGTTTAGCTATTCCCAAAATTATTGAAGCGCGACGACTTGCTCCGAGCAAAGTTTCGAACAGATGTTTGACAAAATGGTAGGAAGTGAGCGGAACCTTTCTGAAGCGACAAAACTGAGGCCTAAGAAGGAACAAGCCATTAACTTGAAACCGTTCCAGCTGAGTGTGTGGAAAGTTTAATTGACTTTGCAAGACAACGATTACGTATTATGGTAAAAAGGAAAATTAAAGTGTCAAATTGTTTTAAAGGTCACATATTTTGGGGTAAACACTTTCCGTCACTAATATCAAATGCCAAATGAAAATAATATCAAATTGGGAATAACAGGCTAGTCACATACGCCACTTGTCAGATGTCACTAACGCGTTTTTCAATTAAAATTTTTTTTCAATTGGAGTTAATTTAAAATTCATTAATAAATTAAAAATGTATAAGCAAATAATTTGACATTAAATCATTTCTACTTTTTGTGTGTGAGTGTTTTAATTTATTTTAGAACCGGATAGTTATCTATATTTTTGTCGATCATGGCCTACTTTATAAACATTCTTTTTAAATGCAAGTGTAGAAAAAATATATATAAAACTATTTTTCATTGATTTGTAGATTTAACACTTGAAAAACTGTTTTCTAAATTCAACCAAGCTTTATATATTGTCTCTTTTTTTAAAGAATAACTTTTTCTACTTACCATAAGTTCAGTTTTGTACATAAATTTTAGAGGCTATAATCATAGATTTGATTTTTATTCGCTATCTCGAACATAATATATTTATACATTGATATGGTTTGTTTTATATGACTTAAGTGAAACCATATCTTTTATATAATTTAAAAGAATATGAGCGCCAATTATTTATTTTATCTTCCTGGATAACGTATTCATAGACATAACTTACTATTGACTGAAATATTTTTAGAGCAACCTCTTTTATCTCTAGGTAGGGTTCAAACAGTTGTTCGTAGATGGGGCAGCCTGCTTTTTATTTTTAATTTGATTAATAATAAATAATTCTTCAAAATGTATTATTATGATTAAAACACACCATTACATTATTGTATTTATTTCACTATTAAATAGATTAAATGCTTTTCCTTTTTTATTTATATAAATTAAAAAAAACAATATAAGTAAGAAAAAAAATCAATTATTATATTCAAAGTTGCCGCATTTTCTCTGTCAAAACTTTTCAACATATGACTTGACAGACATTCAACAGTCATATATTTGTATTAAGCTTCTACAATTTACAACTAAAATGTGGTTAGATCTTAAATTTTAATCACTCAGCTTTATTATAATATATCAATGACAATAATTCATGAAGATGTTATTTAACATCATGGTAAGTACTATCTTTATAAATATTAAAACTAAATATAACCTATCTATTAAAATGTCTTATTAGATTTAAGAATTCTTATTTAAATTATCTTTTTTTTTGTGTTATGAATATGATCATATCATTAATTAAAGTTTAATTTCAAGTACCTTGATCGAAGAACTAACTTCACTGCGATACTATTCTGCACACAAGACTTAAGTAATTTTATCACACTGGAGTCCTTGTTGATACACACATACAGGAACTTGGGAAAATTCGTCGTTTTTCTTAGGGCCCTTATATTTTCTTGCTTATATACTATTATAAATTGTAAGTACGTTTAGTGTTTAATAACTGTTTCACCGTTTTTTTTTTAAGAATTTCTTATTTTCTATCTCTCTCTAAGATGATTGCAATTGTTTTTTCTTTTGAATATTTTGACCAACTCCTCGCTTTTGCCGGCGAAATCGGTTTTATAGAACTTATATTTCATAGCCAACTAGATAGAATTTTTGGAAAATTGTTCTAGAAATATACAGGTTAAATCAAAATCTTCTTAAATTTTTTTATTCACTCACTATTTTCCTATTGTATGTCTCTAAAGGAGCTTTCTTTTAAAGTCTTTTGGTATTTTTCTTTCATCGTAAAGTCCATTATTAAGATTGTTATTTACAAATGAAATTTAACATTTTTCCTTACTATAAAATGCCTTTAACTTGATTTATATCAATTAAAACTATGTAATTATTATGCCAAATCATGTTTCTAGTTTATTTTATGTTTTTAGTTAAGCTTAGGAGTAGATAAAAGCATTTTATTTTATAATTTCCCCTTAATTTAGTTTTGAGGTTAAGTAATTCTTGGAAATTCATTTAATTTATTTAATTACAACAATGGTGTATTATTTATCATATCAGTTTTGTGTCTGGCCTATTAACTTTATATTTCATGTACAATTTTGGTCATTATATTAGTCTTTTTTGAAAATTCTATTAAAGTAACTTTCTTATGGGAAATCCAAGTTATTTTTGACTTGTAAAATTTCTCTATTATTTTTATGTTTGCCGTAAATTTAATTATTCAAATATATTGTCTGATGTCATATAGTTAGTTCTGTACTAAATACTTGTTTTATTTATCCAAATTATCAATAATATTATGGTTTCGCTGTTTCAATTTTTAATTCCTCGTAAAATTTTATGTTTCATTTTTTAACTCTCAAATATTGCTTGCCAGCATTAATACCATTACAATATATTATATACAATATATTTATATACAGTGTCTACTATACATCCATCCATCATATTTTACTGTAAACAATTTTTTAAAACGTTTTATGTGTTCTTTTTTGCAATCTACGCTCACAAATTTAGCTTCTGTTGTCAAACTCAAATGTATATATTACGGTGCATCCGCGGTGAATTGAATTTTTCATATATCTTATTTTATGTCAACTATGTCGTGGTTGACTGTGCTGTCACTCACAGAATACATTAGAGTTTTTTAACACGCTGCATGCGATAAGGCGCATATATAAACCATATCAAGAACCATTGTCTTAACAATTTAAAAACAAATATAAAATATCATGCAAATCATCATGTTTTGTTGTTCATATTATCTAGTTCATATTTTTAATAAATGCATAGACCATTGTTACTTTCCTGATATTTCGAAAGAAGCTTATGTGATACCCTTACCAAAAACCTTAAAGTCTTTAAAGTTTAGTCAGTTAAGAAATATTAGTCTAGTTCCTAAATTCTTTAATATCATAGAGAAAACTACAGAAATTTAGCATTAGTGCGCGTATGAAACGAATACTTAATATCAACGTTATTAATGTGAATAGGCACATGACGAGAGAGAGAACCACGCGGCCTGGCCGTTTAAAGTATTAACGTTAATATTATTCGTTTCCTGCTCGCCCTAATGCTAACTCTTTGTAATTTTCACTTTGACATTTGCAGATCATGTTGGAAAGTGTTCAATACCGTACTAGTCTAAGATCCAAGTAGGGAAACCACCTTCACCTGTCTGTTTAATGGATGAAAAGTATTTTATATAAAAATTAATACGTTAATATATTGCGAATAGGCTGACTAAAAAATTTCAGTCCAGGATATGATTAATTAAAAATTTAAAAATTGTTTTTTTAAATATGCACTTGATTGTTTAATAGACAAATTACATAACAATCAATAGTATGGAAGCTTATAGAATATGCACACATTAGGTTGACTATTTTTTTCCAGTCATTATCATTGGGTAGGCAGGTATAAATAGGTAAGTCGATACTAATAATTTGCATTCGTCTGTTTAATTAACAAAACTTATGACAAAATAAAGATAATGTCATTGCGAACACGATGATATAAGGTTGTCTGCCAAAAATCTGTCTTGAATTCCGGTTGTCGGTTTTTAAAGAGCGAAATATTGCTTTGAATAAATAATATGCGCGTTAGAATTGAAAAACTTCGTATCATTGTTATTTATTAACATTATACTGTGATAAACAATGGCTAAAAAGTGTTTTTTGTGTAACTTGGATGACGGTGTAATTGATTTTAACGTTGAAACTTTTAAAAACTGTTCATTGAAACTGGCTTTTCGTAAAATAATAAATTTTAAATACAATGATGTTGAGCTAACCAATGCGTCTCTTGATTTTGTTGGTTATCATACCACCTGTTACAAAAAAGTAACTGCTTTGAATAAAAAATATAGGAAATAATTTAATAATTTTAATGCTGAGAATACATAATAAATGAATATTCTAAATTATCTTACATTTTCTATATTTTTTTATACTGAAATAATGACATATTTTGATTTTGTGTTAGCTAAATAATTTTCACTATACATAAATTTTTCATTTTCTTTGAAAAATTGTTGTTGAGAATATAAACAAAAAAATCTGATTTCTGTGACTTTTTGTACCATCATTAATGAGAATATTTTCATTCATCAAAATCAAATATTTAATAAAAATTATATGTCAAACATTTTTTATTTAATCACAAAAATTCACTTTTAAGGTGCATGCCAATACATCTACTGCTGATGAAAACGCAAAATATCTGAATTATAGTGTCACGTTAAAATAATAGATGGTTTTCACTACTAACACCTAATCGGATCATCTATGCCACAAACTTTTGAAAAAGTTGCAGAGTCGATACTTATAAAAATATGTTCAACAAACGCTACAGAAATACATTAATTTTTGACCGCTATTTATCACCGTCAATAAAAGATTCCAAACGCCAAAGTCGACAATAGTTCGATATTCCTTACAAAATTTCCGAACCTCAACAAATTAGACCTAAAGATTTTTTGCAAAGCCTTAAAAATTATCGTTTTAAAAAGGCTTTAGTACAGTTTTTGGCCGATTATTGGGAAAACAAAAATTTGGTAACAATAATACAAAACAAACAAAAAATTTTAACCGTTGACCATCAGTGCTTCTCTTATCAAACTCAGCATAATTACACAAAAAAATAAAGAAGGTAACTATGTATGTCATCATGAAGAGGCTGATACGAGGATTATTTTTCACGCTTATAAAGTGGCACCAGGCTCAAGAATTTTAATAAAAGCCTCTGATACTGATGTTTTGATTATTTTGTTGGGAAATATGCACAAAATTTCGGAATCTGAAATTTGGCTAGCCAATTCAGCAACAAAGAAGACAAATAATCAACATCTTGATTGCATTAATTGCACCAATTTAGCGTTGAAGTTGGGATCCAAATTATGCCGAAGTCTGCCCGCTTTCCATGCATTTACAAATTTCGATTACATGGCAGCATTTTACAACAAAGGAAAAGTAAAACCTTTTAGGTTATTTTTGAGAAAAGAAAGGTACCAAACAGTTTTTGCTTCATTAACTGATGAAGCCGATATTTTTATAAACGAAAAAATGGACACCGTTCAAGAGTTTACTGCTAGTATGTATGGCACAAAGAATTGCACCAGAGTAAATGAAAAATTACTCTGCAAAAGAACACAGTGAACAGTTTTTAAAGAAAATAGAAAGTTTTGACTCAAACATTATACCACCATATCAATTCAACAAAAAATTTTACGAACTATTTTTGTCAATTTCATGTGGCTTAATGCTACAGACCCTAAATGCATAATACTTTAGCATGACCACTGCGGTTGGTTTTTAGATGATTATTTAAAACCAACACGGTTTATTGGGGATCAAACACCTTTAATAATAGAAGAAACAACAGCAAAAGAAAGCGATGACGAAGAATCTTCCGAAGTTGAAGATCAAAATTTTTCTTATGATGAATCAGATTTCGAATAATTTTTATTATTAGAAAAAAAAAACAATTAAAATACCTCTGTATTTATATTTTAATATAATAAAATTTTTTCAACATAAATTTAACGTATGGTATAAAATAACGTTATTGGTTAAACATTTAACGTTGAGATTTTAATTAATAAGTTTTACGTATATAAAGTACCATTTTCTAACGTATTTTTCTAATAATTTTCAACAGAATATTGAAAATTTTATAAAATAATACGTTTTTTATAACGTTTGGTTGCAAATAACGTTATTTTCCCTGACTTTGAACTATTTTGATACGTTTTATACGTTTGGTTATTAAACAGTTTTCGACTTTTTTTTTAAGTACGTGTGCTCATTGAGATACAACGCCGGGACCTCTCTGTAGCACATATTCATTCGCAGCAATATTTAGCTTTTTAAAACGCGACAACCAGAATTCAAGACAGATTTTTCGTAGACAACCTTATATCACCGTGTTCGTAATGAAATTATCGTTATTTTACATAAGTTTTATTTATTAAACAGACGAGTGCAAATTATTAGTATGACTTACCTGTTTATACCTGCCTAACCAATAGTTATGACTGAAAAAAATTAGTCAACCTAACGTTTGCATATTCATACTTTCGATTGATATGTAATTTGTCTATTAAACAAACAAGTGCAATGCTTAAAAAAAATCATTTTAAATTTTTAATAAATCATATCCTGGACTAAATTTTTTTAGTCAATTTATTCGCGATATATTATTTAATACATTACATTTGATTTAAAATACTTTTTATCCATTAAACAGATGGGTGAAGGTCGACCTTACTTCGGATCCTGTACTATACACTGTATATATAGGTATGCATTGTTGTTAGTATAGATAACGAGATGAACTTAAATTTTAGTAATTGCCTAAACGCTTAAATTCACTTAAATTATAAATGTATTCAAAACTCTATGGGAATCGCAATAATTAAATTAAGATGTAGTAAACTTCTTTAATTTCCTTAGTTCAGTGATATTCAGACTCTAGTTTAATTATATTAATTTAAATTTTATCAATTTGCATAGCGTTATTACTTGTCTCATTGTACTTCTACATTTGATTTTGTAATTGTGTTCTGTCCTTATCAATTAATCTCGCTAAGAGTTTTGGAGTAAAAAGTGGGTTCTCGGTTACAGAATAGGATCCCCAGCACACAGTTGTATCGTAATGGCGCATTTACGTGTACTTCGTTGTTGCCTAATATGGATCTAGGTTGTAATTTACCTTCATTGTACTCTTTCTCTTTCGATAATATTCCTTCTGTTCTTTTCTTGCTTTCTTATTTACCCTTCCTTTTTCGACTAGGTGCCCGGTATGGGTCATAAACAGGAGCGGTTTCGTCATTGGTTTATTTGTGCAGTGAACACCCAGTTAAATTTAATAAAAACACATAAGTAACATAAACATAAATTCAATTTTAATATTTTTTATTATTTTTATGCGTTAATGTCTATTTTTTCGGTACACCACTGCGCTCTAGCCCGTCGCGTTTTCATCGGTTCACAATGCTGCTTGAGCACCAAAACGATCAGACTTTTCTGCAAATGCCTGTAGTTAAAAAGAGATGACAACAGTTTCCTGAAACCAGGTGAAACAAACAATGTGACTGCTTAAAACCACACTATTTTATTCATCGCATATAATCAAGGCGTAACGTCATAAAGTAAGGCTGGGTATACGAATATTTCTAATCATTAATATAGAATAAATAGAAGATATTATGATGATACTAAAAGAGTTCGCATTTTTGCATTACATTTTGTGTTTTGGTGAGAATAAATGCAATTTTGTTAAAATAGCGTGATTTACATGATATAACATTTTCACTACGTCAATCTTCAAATATAAAATTATAAACTACAAATTTATCAAAATACGACTCAAAGTGCGTTCACTTGTCATATTGCAAAATAGTGTTTATCTTATGGCGTGTCTACTTCTTTCTATCTGATTCTATCTCGATGTTTCCAATAAAACTACATTATAAATCCCCATAAGACAGTTTTAATTTTGGTTGTTTAAAATAGTTATTTATGCAACAAGTGTGTAAAGTTACCCTTTTTTGACGAATGTGAATGTCAAAAAAGGGACTTTACACACGAGTGGCATACAATATTTTTTCTACTACCGTACACATAATCCACTAATATTAGAAATATAAAAGTTACTTTTTTTCACTAGTGAAAAAAAGTACTTTACTTTACGCACTAGTGAAAAAAAGTAAAATGTGCCAAAAATTGTACACAGCAACAAAAATAAATTTATTGGAACTTTACAAATTTATAATTCTTACAGAACAAAATGACTAACAAATGAAGAAATATTTAAAAAAATAGGTTTTTAACTCTTATGAATATTAATATTGAATGTGCAATTATTGCAATTACCAAAACTGAAGGTTTTGGCCTTTTCCAGTTTAAAAAATGTTGTGATATTACTTCTGTAACCCTATTTTGAGCTTCGAGTGGTATGGATTTGGCCTTTTCAAGTAAAGAGGTTGAAATATTTTGTGTAACTCTAGTTTCACTGTCGAGTGGTTCCACTAATTCTTTATTAGAGTTGTCAACGGTAAAATTGTAGCTTTGTTTGGAAGTGGATGGCATACTATCATCCATCAAAATTTTATTATAAATTTTGTTTTTTTGTGTTCTTGTGCTGTCTACGTAGCCTTCTGCAACAGCAGATGATTTCCATCCTCCATGTTTTTTGACCGTTAGAAGGTCTCCTCCAGAATTTGCCAGTATAGTGGCTGAGTACCTCCTAAAGCAGTGTCCTGTAAAAGCCATTGGATTGGGCAAGTTTAGATACGTTTCTATAACACTTGGCATTTTACCAAAAGTATTTATCCCTACAGGCTGTTTAGAATATTTTCCATTTGCGAATTTAAAAAAAAATCTGTTACAATTTATATTTGATGGTCTTAATGAGGTATATTTTTTTATAAAAGATAAATAATCAACTGCAGAATTATTTGGATTTAAAATCGTAAAAATGCGGTCTATTCCATTTTTGGTTCCTGATACTTTGACAATATACACTGTTTGTTTATCTTCCACATCGTTAATTGTCATTTTACATAATTCTTCCCGGCGACAAGCTCCCGCAATTCCAATTATAAAAGCTACCTAAAAAAATAACATATTGTAATGTTACAAATAATTTATTAAACATTAGGAAATATCTTGCCGTTGCGCATGTAAAACTCCAAATAAATGCTATTGTAAAAAATATAAAAGTTTTAGGTATAATGTGCTGCCTAACAACCCCAGTGGCCTGTTAGGACAGCAACTGATTTTGTTAGGCAACACACCATACGAACACACATCTCGTTGCAAAACTTTACAGAATATTTTAATTTTATACTGAGCATTCAAGCATTTACTGAGGCATTTACTTACTTTGATCATTAAAAACTTGGAATCTGGAGCTTTCAACAGAAAATTAATTAGATCTCCTGGTTTAAAAATTTTGGATTTTTTTGGTTTATAAACTTTATTTTTTTGTTTGAGAAACGCTATTAACTTGTTGAATTTCGAAATATCAACGTTGTTTTTATATTTTAAGTTGCTTTTAAGCATAGAATAAATCGACCATAGGGTAGAAGCTTTGCAATTCTTCAATTCATCAGAGAAATATGCTAAAATAACGTTTTCCGAATATTTTGTCACCTTATTCTTCCTACACCATTCTATAAATGCACTGTATTTTGGCTGATAAATATATGCAGATTTTTCTGGCAATAAATTTTCAGTGGCCTTTTGTGCACTGCATAAGATATCTGGGGGAGTATTATCAAATTCGCTATCGCTAGATAAATTTGAATCCATATCGATTATGACAGATATAATAAACTGCAAATAAAATTTGAATATAAGTAAACAAACATTAAAATGTAAAACTTTTTACCTTCTCAAACATGATTGAGTTTAAAAAAATGCTAAATTGGCTTTAGAATCTAATCTTGAACTTAAGTATACTTTTGTCGTGTTCTGTTATAAGGTAGGTACTAATTAAAAGTTTAGAGATTGACAGTTCTTCTAATCCACATAGCCACGGCCAACTTACTTTTACCAAAATCGACATCACTGTATGTTTACTTTTAATTAAATCGATGACATTTAGAGAAAATTATAATTAAAATAAACTGTTTATAATTTGTTGGACACTTAATAGATATAAGCAAAAATTATTTATTTATTTGTCTTAGGAGCTAGCAAAAAAATGTTAATATAAAATAAAACGTTATATTTTGTTGTTATGTACAAATTTTGTAAAATTTTAACTAGTGCGTAAAGAGTTTTACTTTACGCACTAGTGAAAAAAAGTACAACTTTACACACTTCGTGGAGTGCGTAAAGTACGTACTTTACGCACGGTATTAGAAAAATTGTATTTAAATAAAACTACGACTTTAATAAATCGGAAGTATGTGTGTCAATTCAACGATTGTTACCGAAAAACGTCTTCAATATAAAACATTTACTATTATTTTAAGCGTAAGTATTTTTGCGGTTGTGTTGTTTATTTACTTCCAATTTTAAACAAAAATTTAGTTTTTTACGACTGTAATTTATATTTTTTTTTGTTCCAGTGTCTATGACTACTTCTGAATAGTCTTATGTTTTGTACAGAAAAATGTTTTTCTATACGTTTTTGAGGTCGCTGAATTGAAATCCCGGATCCAGTTAACCCTATCACGTCAGTGTTTTGCTATAGGCTCAAAAAACAAAATAATTAAGGCTTTCCAGATCTTTTTATTGCATGTAGGTCTGTAACTCACACTTTTAACACAAAAGCCAAGCTATTAACTCCAAACCCATAACCCTATAACCCCATAAACTCATAAACCCATAATGCAATAACCCCATAACCTTAAAAAACGCCATAACCTTAAAAAACGCCATAATTCACAGCTAAATTCGAATCCGGCGTTGGATTAACCTTATCAAGTCAGTGTTTTGCTTGGAGTTAA